TGAGCAGCTGCATCGACTAATTTATTCAAACCATTGCTCATACGATAGGCCATGATATTGATGTTGTCCAAACGTTGCTTGTACAACACTTTATATCCGGTCAAAAATGTTAAAAATGATTTTGGAGTGACGTACACCTGTCTTCGAAATCTATTAAAGGAAAAAAAAAGAAGATATGTGTAACATTCATAAATTACGATCGTTTGATACAACGATGAAGTTTTACCTGTCGAAGTATTTCACACAAGTATCGTTCACATCATCGTGCACATCTCCCATAACTTCCACTAACTGTTGCTTTACCTCTGGAGTGCATATTATCTTATATTTCTGGAGAAAATGGTCGCCTACAGCGTATAGAGCATCTTTTGGCCACCTCCAGAACCAATTTATCGTGCAACCAGATATAAGACCTGGGAATTTCAATGCCCGAGATCTGAACTTCTCACCAACCTGTAATCCACGCATAAGTATATTTATTATATGTTAATTTATTCCTTTCGTTACGATATTGTACGCTGCTTCTGGGGTAGTTGAGCTGTGAGACTGTACTTTGTTGCAAACAGAGTGTAATATCTGCTACTTTGTCTTATTATGCAAATTATTGTGTCTTTATTCAAGATGTTTCAAATTAGTACATAACGAGTTATAAGGAAATGCACTTCGGAATAATCAAATTTAAAAGATTGGTTAATAATGCAGTTTTGTCACTGGGCTCGGCGGTGAGTGGCTATAGGCTGTGTTAGGATATAGCGAGCGTTCGATGTTGCGTGGCTATAGTCTTTTTTAAGATAAAGCGAGCGCTCGATGTTGCGTGGCTATAGTCTTTTTTAAGATAAAGCGAGCGCTCGATGTTGCGTGGCTATAGTCTGTGATAAGATATAGCGAGTACTGGGCGTAGCTTGATTGTAGTTTTTTTAGGATATAGCGAGCGTTCGATGTTGCGTGCCTTTAGTCTTTTTTAAGATATAGCGAGCGCTCGATGTTGCGTGGCTATAGTCTTTTTTAAGATATAGCGAGCGCTCGATGTTGCGTGGCTATAGTCTTTTTTAAGATATAGCGAGCGCTCGATGTTGCGTGGCTATAGTCTCTTTTAGGGTATAGCGAGCGTTCGATGTTGTACGACTTTAGTGTTTTTTAAGGATACGTGACTATAGTCACATTTAGTAATAAAAGGGTTAAACAATTAAGACTTCTTATATATAGAATATCAGTAGAATGAAATTAGAAGGAGAAAGTGGACACAAGTTTCGTAGTAACCTAAATTTTCACACGCAGAATCTCACCCTTTACAATATATTCCGCTTAGACTATTTCTTTACGAAGACTGACATTACCAATGTTTTATAACAGATTTCCAAATTTAATTTTCTCGAAAACTAAGCTTCCTACGGACAAATTTTATTCTGTATCTTCGACTTATCTTTGCACATAGAATCACCTGTTGCCTAGTTGTACCATTCATTCCAAGACTCTCTGTATTAATCTTGTATTGTATTTCTGGAGAAAATGGTCGCCTACAGCGTATAGAGCATCTTTTGGCCACCTCCAGAACCAATTTATCGTGCAACCAGATATAAGACCTGGGAATTTCAATGCCCGAGATCTGAACTTCTCACCAACCTGTAATCCACGCATAAGTATATTTATTATATGTTAATTTATTCCTTTCGTTACGATATTGTACGCTGCTTCTGGGGTAGTTGAGCTGTGAGACTGTACTTTGTTGCAAACAGAGTGTAATATCTGCTACTTTGTCTTATTATGCAAATTATTGTGTCTTTATTCAAGATGTTTCAAATTAGTACATAACGAGTTATAAGGAAATGCACTTCGGAATAATCAAATTTAAAAGATTGGTTAATAATGCAGTTTTGTCACTGGGCTCGGCGGTGAGTGGCTATAGGCTGTGTTAGGATATAGCGAGCGTTCGATGTTGCGTGGCTACAGTCTTTTTTAAGATATAGCGAGCGCTCGATGTTGCGTGGCTATAGTCTTTTTTAAGATAAAGCGAGCGCTCGATGTTGCGTGGCTATAGTCTTTTTTAAGATAAAGCGAGCGCTCGATGTTGCGTGGCTATAGTCTTTTTTAAGATATAGCGAGCGCTCGATGTTGCGTGGCTATAGTCTGTGATAAGATATAGCGAGTACTGGGCGTAGCTTGATTGTAGTTTTTTTAGGATATAGCGAGCGTTCGATGTTGCGTGCCTTTAGTCTTTTTTAAGATATAGCGAGCGCTCGATGTTGCGTGGCTATAGTCTTTTTTAAGATATAGCGAGCGCTCGATGTTGCGTGGCTAGTCTTTTTTAAGATGTAGCGAGCGCTCGATGTTGCGTGGCTATAGTCTCTTTTAGGGTATAGCGAGCGTTCGATGTTGTACGACTTTAGTGTTTTTTAAGGATACGTGACTATAGTCACATTTAGTAATAAAAGGGTTAAACAATTAAGACTTCTTATATATAGAATATCAGTAGAATGAAATTAGAAGGAGAAAGTGGACACAAGTTTCGTAGTAACCTAAATTTTCACACGCAGAATCTCACCCTTTACAATATATTCCGCTTAGACTATTTCTTTACGAAGACTGACATTACCAATGTTTTATAACAAATTTCCAAATTTAATTTTCTCGAAAACTAAGCTTCCTACGGACAAATTTTATTCTGTATCTTCGACTTATCTTTGCACATAGAATCACCTGTTGCCTAGTTGTACCATTCATTCCAAGACTCTCTGTATTAATCTTGTATTGAAAGTGAAAAATAAAAAGACTCACCGGTGAGAAACACAGAATCACGTGCAACTGATTTCTTGCACGCGATATAAAGAAATCATAAAGATTGTCCGGAGTTGGTGGTCGCCTTGGATCCTCTGCTTTCATTATAGGCGTTACTGTAGTTAAAATATCATCGAGTTCGTCAGCTGGAAACAGATTTGCAACTTCTCCAACGCTTAAGATGTTATTAATATATTCCAGAAAAGCTTCTTCCTTAATTTCATTATCGGTGAATATGAACGTCTGTCCTTTACTTCCGGTACCAGCTGCGCGATAAACCTTTCTTAGATCCTCCATCAAAGTTCCAACATTGTAGCTCCTAGAAGAAAATAATAAAAATAAAATTTTATCGCATACCTCAATTTTCTAATTGATTTATTGCGTGCATTAATAATACATTAGTCACTCCTATAAATTGTTTTCAAAATTTGCACGGACACCTAATTTCGAAGGTTTCACCGAATCTTTATTGATCCATTATCTCGTAATGATTCATTCTAATCAGAAGTACCTTTCGACTAATTACCTGGACAATATTATTTGGAAGAAACTGAACCCAGCAATAAAAGAGGCTAATCGAGTCAAACTTTGTTTGCCTGATCCTCCAACCCCTACCAACATGCCGTTGCTTCGAGGTACTCCAAGGACTCTCGATATACGAATCAAATGCACCAAGGCATCGTGGAAAAATACTAAATCCAAAGACATTCCACGAATGTACTCGTTGAATTGATCCATATTTTGTTCGATTTTTGCTATCACTGCTTCGTAACTGTGAAAGAATATTTCGTGGATTTACTTGAAAATTTTTAATTCCACATTTTTATTAACAAAATTATAACCTCGGTATTTCTTCGTAAATTTTTGGCGCCTCGATCACGAAGTCTTCCGGTTCGTCTCCGGTAGGTTCCGGTGGTTCGCGTAGAAAATTGACGAAATAGGTTTCCACCGATACGTAGAAACTGAAATCTGACCCTAACATCTTCTCGGCTGTTCGTCTTAGAGTACTTTTGAACCATTGAGTGTCCTCGTTAGTTGTAAATCTGATATTTACAAAAGAAACATAATTACTCTAATTTTCAAAAAGAAGAAAAAACAGGATTACTCTAATTTCTGAAGAAATATGATCACTCTAATTTTAAAAAAAGAACTGATTATTCCAATTTTCAAAAGAAAAGCAAGACTACTCTAATTTTCAAAGAGAACGTGATTACCCTAATTTTCAGAAAACATTACTTTAATTTCTAAAAGAGACAGGATTACTCTAATTAACAAAAAAAATAAGACTACTCTAATTTCTAAAAGGCAAACAAGTATTACTCTAATTTCTAAAAAAAAATAAGTTTACTTTAAGTTTCAAAAAAACCAAGATTACTATAATTTTCAAAAAGAATATGAGTACTCTAATTAAAAAAGAAAGTAAGATTGCTCTAATTTACAGAGAGAACATGAATACTCTAATTCCCCCAAAAAACCGAGATTACTATAATATTCAAAAAGAATACGATTACCTACTCTAATATAAAAAAAGGAGAAAAATTTCATTAACCAACCTGTCTGCAATTACACGAGTACATTCATGTTCCCAGAGCTTCAACAATCTAGTTACAGTGTCGCATTCTGCTCTCTCAATTCTTAGAATACCCTCCCAAATTCGAGACAAATCTCTCAAATTGAAAACGTAATGAAACTTCGCCGGTGTTGGTAACATTTTCATCTTAGTCTGTTGCCATAGTACTCTAGTTAGGGGTATCAATTTAGGTAAAAAGTCCACGATATTCTCCTCGAATCTGGTACTACAAAAGTATCCTTGTCCAATAGTTTCTAAACATTTCAAATATTTCGCAAATTTGCAATTAACTACTTAATACCACATACACAATAATTGCAATTTTATTCAATCATTCTATTTCATTCGTGGATAATTATAAATAATAGGAAACTTATTTCTATATTTTACCTAAAAAATAATTAAACAAAAAAGACGAAAATTGATCATTTTTGGTACCTCAATTTAAGAAATTTTAAAAATTAAGAAATTAAGAAATTTAAGGAACTTAAGAAATCTAAGGAGCTTAAGAAATTTAAGAAATTTAAGAAATTTAAGAAAATTAAGAAATTTAAGAAATTTAGGAAATTTAAGAAACTTAAGAAACTTAAGAAATCTAAGAAGTTTAAGAAATTTAAGAAATTTAAGAAATTTAAGAAATTTAAGAAATTTAAGAAATTTAAGAAATTCGTACCACGAGTATCTCTGGAACGATTTAACCCTTTCGTGACCAGTGAGACGCAAATGACCCCGCTTGGATATTGGACTAAATTATCTCACGGAAGACTTCAGGAAATGGGAATTTGTTTAATAAAGATAAACAACTAAAGACACCCTCTACACAGATCTCGAAAGCACTATGCTGTTCGTACGTTTAATATTAATGATTCACGCGCGCGAGAGTACGAGCGACATCGTCGACGAATGATTATGATATTTCGAGTTGGTACACAGCCCTTCTCCGTTTGATCCCGGCAAAGCGTGATAATTGGCACACAGAGAGGCACATTAATGCTCATAAAATGGGAACGGATGAAACGGTGAGGTTGCATTACCTCCGCCGCCACAAGTAAATAGCAAGAAAGGTCTTTGATCGCACAGTACAAAACGACAGGCGCCTTTACCATAATGGCGCGAACTCTGTTGTGATGAGCAGCAAAAAAATATTAATGTTAAAGGGTTAAACTTTTAATTTTACTTTAATTTCGCATCATAATTAAACAACAAATTGAATATCATTTTAATAAAACATTCTTACTAAAAATCGTGTCCATAGATTTGTTCGAAGGCAATGTACAATTAAAGATGTTGAATTGCCTCTTCAATCTCGGTGGAATATCGTTTCTTCCGCCGCCAGGATGAATCATGGCGGCCAATAACTGGATGTCCTGTATGATACAGAAATCGCCTGGTTTGTCCAAAGAATAGAAGCCTTTGTATTCCATCAGTTGCCGGACAATTTCGTTCGTCACTTGATCACCCCATTCGTTAATGTACGGCATATTTATGTCGTCGATGAAAATACTCATTTTCCGACCACCGGGTGGTCCGTAAGTAGTCCCGACCCTTTTTTCCACGTAACTCTCGAACACCCTCTGCGAGAAATGTACTCGTTTGCTTTATGATACGTCGTTAGGCTTCGACTTACTACTTTAGAGTGAATTACCTGAACCATATTTGGCGTGGAGGCCGAGGAAAAGCTGAAGGATTTGTGTAAATGTTCTTCAGGATCGTACTGGGACATGTAGCCTTTGATCATCACTGTTTTTGCAGTTCCCTGCTCTCCTGTTTTATTGGAAATTTTAGTTTTTGGCAGGTTTTGGCGAATAATCGAAGGTAAGTGAGAAGAAATTTTATGGTTGATCGTTTCTTGGGGGACGACTGAAGGTGACTAATTAGAAATTTTGTGTTTGATCATTTTTTGGTGGATAACTGAAGGTGACTAATTAGAAATTTTACATTCCATAATTTTTTGGTGAATAATTAAAGGTGACTAATTAAAAATTTTTAGGTGAATGATTGGAAATTTGACGTTCAATAATTTTCAGGAGAATAATTAGGAATTTTATATTCCATCATTTTTTGGTGTATAATTAAAGATGACTAATGAAAAATTTGATGTTCAATAATTTTGAGGTGAATAATTGGAAATTTTGTGTTCAATAATTTTCAAGAGAATACTTAGAAATTCACTAATTATAAATTTAATACTCCATAATTTTTGGTGAATAATTAAAGGTGATTAATTACGAATTTTACGTCGATTAATTAGAAATTTCATATTTCACAATTTTCAGGAGAATAATGAAAGGTAAGCAATCACAAATTTCATATTTCACAATTTTCAGGAGAATAATGAAAGGTAAGTAATCACAAATTTCACATTTAACAATATTTATTCGAACAATCACCACCCAAAATAATTTACCTATTAATAACACCGCTTTTCCCTGCTTCGCAATTACATCGATCAAAAACAAACTCCTGGTATTATCTATATTCGGCACCAAAATCGTGCAATATTGCAAAATTTCATCCGAAGGGTAAATAAACTCCGGAACTCTTTCCGACCAGTGTATCCACTGGCCATCTTCCGACACCAAGTATTCAAAAATAGTTTCATCTTCCTAAAATAAACATTTTACAAATAAAACCATCCTCGTTGACAAATTCACTCAAACTCGTGTTAATCGTCCAGATTACAGTGCACTGTGGCCAATGACACTTCGATGGATGAGTAACCAAGAACTCCTGCAACGCGTTGCGTTCCTCCAGCTCCAAAACAGCTCCCAAACTCCACATCAGCGAGAATAGAAATATCTTTTCGACGTGATAATCCGGAAGCACTCCTGAACATCAGAAAATTCAATTAGAATCTGAAAGAAACTTAAATTACACACTTTTTTTTATTCAATAAAAATTACACACTGGGTGTTTCTGTTCGTGTACCAAGCAACCCCTCCAACAGATCTATGCACTGTCTAACGTAAATCGCTTCGAGGAGCTTCATTTTCACGGGAAGCTTCGTTTGAACGAAGGTATGAGCGTCGTCGTATATTTTATGGAACAACGGACGAAGAATTTCTACTAATGCAGGTGGTCTTTTCTTGAACCATCCCTGGATATTATTGAAAAAAATGTGCAAATTTGAAAATTGGTAGATTTTTGGAAGTATTCTCTGAGGAGATTTAACACTTCGACGGTTTATCCCGAGTGAGACTTAGGAAATGTGTCGAACAAGGAAGAGTGTAACTCGGGAGAGACACTTAGGAAGGAAGTTAGAAAGGGAGGAGATGTTGTTATCAGGACTGAAATACGGGAGTAGAAATTCGGGTCTGGTGTTTGTCACTCGCCAAGAGGCGCAGGGCAAGCCATAAACCGTCCCAAAATGCCTACACTATATTCCTGATCCTGACGAAGTGAAAGCTCACGAAACGTCGGAACACTTTTCCAAAAGTCTGGATAATAACAATTCTCAGGAATATCTTCGTCACCTCTAAAATAGGGCTCCATTTCAACACAGAAGCGCTTATGAACACCATTCCCATACGAGATATCGTTGCCGGAGACGCGTTATCTACGTTATCCGGCTCAAACACCAATTTCGTGTTCGTTGCCATGATTATTCGATCACCATTGGCCAAAGTCAAGGTTTTATTATCGTCCAACACGGAATTTAAATTCTCGATCCATACTGCGTCTACAGGCCCGTCCAAAACCATCCATAAATTGTCTGTTTTCTTGGTGTGCGTGGATCTCCTCCATATCGTCGAGAATATTCCATCTGTCCAGTCGTTCGTTGCTACGTCTAATCTTCCGAACATTTGAGACGCAGTTATGGCCTGTGGAGAGTGTTAATTGCGTAGGTTAATTGGTTGGTAATGGAAACTTTGGAAGGTCGATGTCGAATTATTCACTTTGGGATTCATTCGGACTTCTTTGTGAGGCATGCCCATTTCTGTTAGCGCTTTCATCAGGGCCCACATGCACTGTGTCTTCCCGGAACCTGTTGGTCCGAGCACCATCAGACCGTGGCGTACCAAGGATGTTTCGTACAACTGAGAGTATGATAGAATTTTTCAAAGATATCGCGACTTCTGCTCTCATGTAACGCGATTCCTCGTAATACAGGAATTCCCCGCATTTAACCCTTTCGTTACTATCAGCGCCTATAGGCGTTTGAAACATTTGCTCGCGCTATACTGTCGAAGCCTTTTGGCCCACTTCCACCTTAAGGGGTTAGGACACGGTAATAGTTTGTCTTGAGAACAAAATATTGTACAGGATACAAATTATTTCTCTAAGTACGAATAGAGTGTTTAGTCAGAGTGAATTCGTAT